CCCCAAAACCCCAAAACCCCAAAACCCCTTTATTATTTAACAATATTGAAAATATTGCTAGAATAGATTACTTTGCAACTATTTCTCCAGGTAAATACTTATGTTAAGGCAGATTTTCCAGAGATTCATTTTCCCTTTAGATGTGGGCTACTAGCCCAGATCTGGGCAAGCATGCTTTGGTAATGCTTCCTTGGGATATGTACAAATCTTGAGAAGGGAAATTGTAATCCAACAGCTGTTTGCTTATATTTACCACCTTTCAATACTTCCATTTCTCAGACAAAAGTATACTTATCCTGAATAACTTGAGATTTTTCCTGCGAAGCAGAATCTTTGGTCTTGGCAGGGCTAGCCTTCTTAGAATTTTTAGTCGAAGAGTTAGGCCTATTTATCCCAATCTTGCCGTCAAGAAGAAGGTAAACTCCTGAGATATCACCATTCTTGGAAAACAAGGGATCGTCTTTGAAGACCACTTTTGTGGTCATGGTTGTAGAAATAGAGTCAAGAATTTTAGCCAATTTATCTTCAACTTTCTCTAATCCTAGCTTCTCCTGAATAAGTTTCTGAATAAATTGATTGATTAGCTGATAATCCTTTTGTTGCTTTGAATCATCTGAGTTACTGTTTGCCTTATTAACTGCCTCAAAAAGGTTAAAATCCTTTGTGGAAATCTCTGGCTCAGGCTCTTCCTTGGTATTTTTAAGACGAATGTTCTGACCTGGAGTCTTCATCCCAGATTTATTCTCTCTCCGAAATGAGCCACTTTGTCGGAAAGAACCAGTTGAACGCATTATGTTATCTCCACTGACGCTTGGAAGAACTAATCTCTTCCGAGACGATAACTTCATGATCTCCCTTGGAGATCTGGCTGATAGATCTTCATAATCAATCGGTTTAGCTCTATATAAAATTTATTTGATGATGATTACTGCTTATAATCCTCCAGTTTTGATCTATTGTTTTGGTTTCTAAAACTCTTTGTCCTGAGACTAGAAAGATCAACAGATGGGAGATTCCTGGTGTTATTAATATGATTCGAGTTCTTAGAGTTGCGTCTCTTCTCCTTTGCTTCCTTTTTCAGCATCTTGCCCCATTCTTTTAGTTGTTGAGCTTGAGAAGGAGTCAGTGAAGGAGTATGCAGCTTTGCCGCATACCCTTTTAGTTTATCAAATCTTCTATCCAGATGGCTCACAAAGCTATGATTATGCTGTTCAAAAGAGGCACCTCGGCTTCTCTTTGACGATTGAAACACATTGAATAAGCTTCTGCTGGTGTTAGGAGTTTCAATATTCACAGATTCTGTTTGCTCTTTCCTTCTTCTCTTCTGAGATCTTGTCGCTTGCCTGATATTCCTTGGAGCTAAAAATTATGACATAACTCATACAGAATCCATTGATGTTTGGAATTTGCGAAAGATCTATAGTTACTTTGTCTAACTGAGGAAGCTTGATCATTTTCCTTGCAGAGAGATAGCCCTGGTTAATAGAGAGGTTAGCCAAAGGCTCCTCCCTAGGAGATTGTTGTATCTCTATCTTCCTCTTGAATATCTTCCTAGAGCTGCTGATAGTCTCCTCTGAGAATTTTAACTTGACAGTCCTAGATAATTAGAGTGAGGAAACAAGTCGACTTACTTCTTGGTTGAATATTCAGGAAAATCATTAGTCTGAAAGGAGATATTATTATTCCGAGTTCCAGGCATTCCTTTCAGTTTCTTCTTCAACTTGTGAAAAAGTAATTTATTCTTGAACACAAGATGAAAATTCTTCTTTGACTTTTTCACTTTACCCGAGTCTTTATTAGGAGATATACTTTTAGAATCTGTATCCTGATGACTTTGACTCTCATCCTGAAAACTACTGCCTGTCTCAACAGTAATGATATCTTCACTCTTAATGTTCTTTTCTTCTCCATGATACTTCTTCTGCTTACTTATTGCACTTCTGTTTAGTTTCTCCATTTATCAAAATTTCTTACTATTATAAATATACCTTCAATAATTATATATCCTCTTGGGGTTTTGGGGTTTTGGGGTTTTGGGGTTTTGGGG